GGGGGGGGGGGGGGGGGGGGGGGGGGGGGGGGGAGTGCAAAAAGACAAAAAAAAAAAAGAATAAAGTTTACTTCAAACTCACTTTAGATCTTTGTTCTCTCGTTTGGTTCACTCAATTTTATATTCCAAAAAAGAAGTGTCAGAGATCGAAAACTATTGAAAATTTAATGTTTTTGAGTTTTCATGTATTTCAAATTTTAAAAAAATTAAAAAAGAGATAAAATAAAAATCTACATGATGACCAAGGGATTTAAATCCTTGACTAAAAGGATAGTCAAGTTCAAAGAAATTATTTTTTACTATTGGACCAAACAACACACTTTATTAGTAAAGTGGCAAATCATATTTCATATTTATTTCCTGAATATTTCAATACAAATACATTATTCACGCAAGAGTTACTAAATTTCTGAAAATCCCATCAAATGAACTAATTCCGCTCTGATAACAAGTGAGAAGAAAAATAGTCAAAAGTGACTTAATATGACCAACATTATATGTTATTTTCAAAAAATGTCTGGTAAAAATAATTCTATACATAGAAAATATGGAATCAAGACAGATAAGAATGGCGTTATATTAATAAAATCCACCTAATTTAAAAAGATGAAATTGGACATCAAATTGTGACTAAACAAGGTTGTGACAAGCTCAAGGATACAGTCATTCCAGAAGAGTTTGATATTTCTGTCAGTTGTTATAGAAGAGCTCGAGATCTCCGTTAGCTATTACATAATTGAAGAGTTTGTTCCTATTACACATATTTATTATTCAAAAGTGAATTTATTATCACTCTGAAATATGTGATACCACTCTCACAGTATACGGTGTACTACACTTATTATGTAAAGTTTGTTCCTATTACACATATTTACTATTTAAAAGTAAATTTATTACTACCCTAAAACATGTGATACCACTCTCACAGTATGCGGTGTGCTACACTTACACTTGTTGCCGCATCAACACATTGTTCAATGCTATCAACTACCACCATAAGAACTCAGATTCATTCTATTGACTTAAGTTATTATTTCAAGTCAATCCACATTTGTTATTTCTTTTGCCTTGTTTATAAATATAAAAACCATCTCTTTTTGACTAAGAACTCAATTATTACAATACTATATTAACTTAGAATCATTATAAATTTCTTATCCAATCAACTATAGTCTATACAAAGAACATGAAGATCCCACCAAATCTTGTAAGGGCAAGAGCTTGATCAGATCAAAAGAGTTCAATTTCAAGATCATTTGGAAACATCCCATGATATTAAGGAAGCTTCCTTAATTTGGCAAAAGCCTAAAGGCTAAAGGTATATTTATTATACTATATATTACAGTATATATTATATTTGAAGAATGTATTTGCCCCACACTCACATCATATCATACCATTCACACATATCTTGTGGAGGGCAAATTGAGATATAACTACTTTGGCCAACAAAATAGACTCACTTAAATTGATAAGGACATTGCCCCCACTCATGTGTGCTAGTATTTTTTTTTTAATCTCTTCTATCTCTTTTTTAAAAATAAAAAATCACCAAATCCTATGCTATTCAAATAAACTCACTAAGAAGGTAAATTATCATATTTCTCCATATTTTTATGACTTATTTGGTTCTTTAAAATTCAAAATTTTCACTAAATTTCAATGCTTTCTTTTTATTGCTACAATCTTTTTAACCAAAGAGCCTTAATATAATTGATAAAAAGGTGTTATCATGTAACTTAAAAAATCACAAATTTAAATAGCGAAAATAATCTCGTACAAAAACATGAGTTTGAATAGTGAAAACAATTTCTTACAAAAATACAAAATAAAATTATTACAAAAATACAAGATAAAATTATAAGATAAAACTATGTCTAATTAAAAATAAAAATTGTGAATCCGCCCCGACTTATACTACACCCTCGTGATCAAATTCTTCCTCAACTATCTTAAATAAGTGCATTTTTTAAGAAAGAGAGGAGAAAACGAATACGTCCACTTAAGTCACCGTCGATCGAGTAGGTGAAAAAAACAGCAAACAAAGATTTTTCCTATAAAGAAAAAAAAAACTAATTCCAATTAAAAAATTCTACAAATTATCAATTAAAGTATTTAATACTCACCACTATAATTTTCTCCCAATTGGTTGAACAGTAAGTGCGATAATTTACTTCACGAACGAGATCTCTAATTCAACTTA